CTAATACATCTAAGCCAGACAAGAAATAAAAGGAGACCAAATGAGCCAAGAAAATTGACAAGAGCTTAGACGGCATTGACAAACTAACTGTTTTAGCTGAAATTAGATCAATGCTAAGAAAATTAGGAGTATCTTGAGGAATTCCGTACAGAATGATCAGTAGAGTCTAGTTTTAAGAGTATAGTAGTTGTAGGGTGGTTTTATTGTCAGCTTTTACCTTTTATTTTTCATTTTTGTTTTTTGTTATTTTCGTTTTATTTCTTTTTGGTGCGAAGTGTCATTTGACACAAGTGTGCCTGGACATTCTCATTGCATAGCAGAAGTGAGGGATTTTCTTATTTGAATCTTGTACAGAGAGCTCAAATTATTAATAATTATACATTTTAAAGATATTCTGCTGGTGAGGATGGTTGAAATAAATTGCCATGGTAATCTTTTGTTAATCAAACAACTCAGTTAGTTTTAGAAAAAGTAAGCTGAACTAACTCAGACGAGAGAGTATAGACACAATGTAAACATAAAGTTTTGACCAGTTATACTATAAATAAAAAAAAAAATATTTAGATATATAAATGTCATGTGATATATATAGACTTGATCTAAAGCTTGACTTCCTCATCTCTTTCAAATCAGCTGATTTCTGGCATGCCCCTTATCCAGTAATTAGATTTTAACAAATTTAGGCTTGTTAGATTTGTCTTATCAAGACAAATCTAATAATAGTAAAATTGCATTTTAATATCAATATTAACTGAGTTATTACTAAATATGCATTTTACTATATATTACTTCTAAGTGGTATGAAAGATGTTTGGGATCTTATTAGATTACCATTATAAAAGACATTTTGCTTCATATATTATTTCATTTAAAAAAAGTTTGTTAAAAATCCATTTTTTCATATCGCTTCTATTTATATATAGACTTAGTGTTCTGTACAAATCAATTTGTGATACAGTATAACCCTGATTGCTCTTGAATAATAAAAACGTATTTTGCAAATAATTTTTTTTGATCTAGCAGTTCGATTTTGATAATCTTTTTTTATTTGATTAGAGCAACGAGACCTATCGATTAAAAAAAAGATCATTGAAATTGGATCACTAGATCCTGAGATAGTAATTTTTGGAGGTCGAATCAAGTTCAAATCAAGTTCAAATCAAATCGAATTTCAGAGAAGAAATTTGATTCATGTAGAACACTATAATATAGTCTATTTAGTAAAAGTAATAGCTTAAAAATTTCCACATATTTAAGGGTCTTTATTTTATCTTACTAGGTGATATATCAATATTAAATAAAATCCAAAAAATACAAATTAAAAATATGTCAATAAAAAGGAAAATAAAAATAAAACTATATTAAAAAATCTATGTAAGTTGTTTCTGTCAAGTAAAACTTTAAGTATAAGTGTATCTTAAAAGTTTATTATAAGCAAAAGTAAAAAAAAAATAATCAAAAAAATAGTCATAAATGTTAATAGAAAGAGTTCTTTCTTTTATAAAATTTTAGTAAATTAATTGTATTTTATTTTTATTAATATATTTAAAGCTTTTATATTTATATTTAATCTTTACTTTACAATTTATATTAATTTATAAAAAGGAATTAAAAAAATTAATTTGAATTTTATATATAAACAATATTGCATTCAATTTTCAATATTATTTAATTATTTATATATATAAGATTATATTGATTCTTACTAAAAAAAAATAATGAAATTAATCTAATTTTTCTTTTATGAAATAATTGTTGCATTTATAAAAATTAGCAAAAACTCAAGAATTTTGGAATTTATATTTATAAAAAAGATTTAAAAAAACTAATTTGAATTTTTTATATAAATAATATTAAAAAAAATTGCATACAATTTTACATTTAATTTTCAATATTGTTTAATTATTCATATACATAAGATTATATTGATTTTTACCAAATATAAACATTAACATTTACAATAAATTTTGTAATTGTAAAAGGAATTTTAGAAACAATTTTAAGAAAGAATTACTTTATACTAAATGTTATTGATGATTACAATTATTTTATGGGAGGTATAGATATAACTATTAACCAATATAGGTCAAACTATATAATTCAATTATCTGTTTAATATATATAGTATCTATTATTTTTTGGTTGTTAATTTTTTTTAAAAAAAATAATTTTTTAAGTTTTTAAATTCTATTAAAAATCTATATTTTAAAATTTTAATTATAAAAATCTTAACATAAATTTTTATATTTTGCAAAATAATATAAATTTTTAAAGGTTTTATTATTATTTATTTATTATTATTTATTTTTTTTTATAACTGCAATGCATTTGATAGTTTATTAAATAAAAGTTAAAGCAAGAATTTTTAATTTTATAAAAAGTTTATTAATATTAAAATTAAAAAGAAATTTTTTAGTATTGTTTTTATAATACTATTAAGTAATTTTTTTTTTAATATTTATTTAAAATAAAATTGATTTGATTTTTAAACTAAATATAACTGATTTAATTATCAAACTATTATATTCTACCTTTTTAAGTATTTTACAGGTAAAATTTATGAAATAAAATAATATTTTATAATAAATTTTATAAGTAAGAAAATTTAAATACCACCATTTAATAAATCTTAATGAAATGAATCCAATAAACTAAAATTAATTTAATAAAAAGTTAAATTAATTTAAAAAATCAAATTTTTAGATTAAAGGATATATGAATAGTAATATTTTATAGTAAGTAACATAGCAGGCTTTCCGATTTTTGAATAATCACATGATGATCAGCATATGTATTATTTTTAGTTTTTATTTAATAAATTATCTGTTATGGCGCCATAATAAATAACTAAAATTCACATTTTCTAGTAATTTTTAAATGACGTAATACTGACATAATTGTTTGTATATAGATATGTATTTTATTGGCTGAATATCATATATATCGCACATGTGATAGCTGTACTAATTTATTTTAATTGTGCAACAAAAAATTTAATAGCGAAGGACGATAAAAAAAATTGATTCTTCAGGTCTTGTTTAAACGTATTACAAAGGAATCTGGCTATTGGAGGAGGAATCCAGAAGTTGTAAACACTTGAAACCTTCTTATAAAACGAAAATAAGTATAGTACGTTTATATTATTTGGCTTTACAAAGAATTTTTGACAAAAAATAGTTGGAATAAAATAAAGATATATTTTGACACTCCAGGTTCTTCTTAAGTGTAAGTTATAAAGTTTTAAATAAGTTTAGTGTCAAAAAAATTCTTTATTGATAGAACTCCTTACCATTTAAAGGATCAGATAGGATTTTTAGAAATTTTTTTTCCTTTATTAATAAACTAATTATTTCTTTCTCTTTTTTAGGAGTTGACTTATGAATTTCATCAGTATATTATATTAAAAGCTTAAACAACATCCTTTAAATAAAGTGAAAGGAGTTTTATGGCTACAATTATTGGTAAGAAATATAATTTAAATTTTATGTCAGGTTTTGATTGTAATGACATTATCGTTAATTTATCAACATACACATATGCTAAATGAATAATTTTATATTCCTTTGAAAGGTGTAAATGGGCTCTAATTTTGAAATCAAAAATCATGCAAATTGAATCATTAGATAAGGAGATATTTACGTTCAAATGCAAGAGTTTATGTCAAATTGATAGTAAATGTGTTGAACGTATTTATTAAGGAACCAATGATTCAATCAATGCGATTTTTAACTTTTTGGATAGATCTCATTCTCTCCTTTCAAATAAATATAAATTCATTTTTCTTGCATGCATATATGTTGAGTTATTTATGATTTTGCAACAGGAATTATAATGGATTTTTAATTTATATGGAAGGTACATATTAAAATTCTTGAATTTATTTCAGATTCTAATAAAATTTTTTTTGCAAATATATTTTATTAATATTTATTAGTTTGCAAGATTTAAAGTACGATTATTATGTGAGTTTTTAAATCTGCCAGTCATTTATATTAAAAAATTACATAAAATGCATTAAATTAAAAGTTACTACTTGCAAAAATTGGTCAATAATAATTCAATTTGAATAAAACTTTGTATGATTAAAATTTAAAGTGCAATAAATTTATTTGCAATATTTGAGGTCATGTAGAATTTTATGCAATGTCTTGTAACGGCATTTTATATCATGTGATAAAATCGGAAAATGATCGGCAAATTAATGTGATAAATGAGAAAGCCCGCTATGCTATAGTAAGTTATAATTTGAAAGAAGTTTATTGATCTTTTACAAATAGAATAATTTGAATTAATACATTAAGTCAATTGTTGCCATATAAATTTAAATGATCATTTTTTTTGGATGATTTTTATTTGAAAGATATATATTTAAAACTTTTCCAAAAAAGCTCTGCTAATTGGAATTCACCTGAATTTTCCCTTAATAGCATTGATATGAAATGAAAGAGAGAAAATTAACTTGATTTTAAAATTCTTGGATTTTATTTTCTATTATGAAAATTTTTTTTGTTTTCATCAGAAATTGCCTAAAGTATACAATAGGATTCTAAATTAGCTAAACTAAAAGGTTACCAGTCTAGATTTTGTAACATACTTTGAAAATATCTTGCATCATGTTTTAGATATTTCGCATTCAGAATACATATTTAATACAAATTTCTCCCAGATTACTTCAGGGAATAAAAGATGATAAAAATAAATGTCTACCTATTTTAAGTTTATATAAATCATAGGGGACTAAAAATATTTACAATATTCTTCAAACATTTCTTCCAAATAAATATTGTCTACCATCAACCCGATTCTGCTGCTTCATCATCCAGTCCGGATTAATTGAAACGTATGTACAGCAAAGTAGCAAGTGTGTATATAAATTTTATTTAAATATCCTACCAGATACTGCCCATATTAAGGTGTTGATGCATTGATCTCAATAGTGGAACGGGCATTTCCAATGACAATATTGAAGACCTAAAAGTTTCTTCCTAGTTCCTGCACTCATGAATAAAATGCAGTCAATATGGGCTCCAAAACGCGTCAACGTTCAATGTTATAATTCCTCCGGAATCGTGATATTATCATTAATCCTTGTAAAAATTGTAGTTCTTTTACAATTCCAGTTCACTTGGAATTGTGATCAGACGTGTAGCAAAGAGATAAATGCTCCTGTGATTAAATTCCGGTATAAACTAGAAATAGACCATAATAAATCACTGTCAGACATCATACAGCATTTTTCGCGTGATAATTAAATCTTGGTATATTCCAATCTTTTTCGTCGATCTTTGACTTGCAGGAAAATTCCCACAATACCAAACCGTCGGCACCTGAAATGATAAAAGTTTTCATCAATTAAAGTTTTATATTTGAAGAAGCAATTATTCACATAGAAATAGCAAAACAAAATATCACATACTCACCATTCTCATATAATTAAGAACGCAATATTATATGAAAGTATTAAATAAGAAACAGCTATTTGTGCCCTCTGACATCCCCCTATTTCACACTTACAATTCTACAACGATAAAAGATTTGAATTATTATTAAAACTCAATTATTAATTGATCGCATTGCTTTTTTATTAATTACACGAATAAACCTATAACAGGCTTCTTATAGATTGCTCAGGTTGATCAATACTTTCTTGATTTTGCATTTGAAATCAATTCAGGTTTTCACTAAATTTAAAAACAACTATTGCATTAGATAAAATCAAAATAATAGTATATATATATACATAAAAATGATCCATTTTTTTTTAATAAATAATTTATTTGTTAAAACAAATTGATATTTGTTGATCCGTTGGTATTTTTTAAATAAATAATTTATTTGTTTGTGGATTATTAAAGAAATGGATCTTAACAAATGAAATTGATTTAAAAGGGAAAAACAAAAGAGAGGGGGAAAAGGAGAAGACGAAAAAAATGAAAAGGATAAAATGAAGAGAGGGGAAAAGGTGAAGAATGAAAAAGGGAAAGTGGGAGAGGGATAAAAAAGCTTAAAAAGTTACTATAGAAATTCATAATGTTTAATTCCATAGAAGTTAATTATATTATCATGATAAATTCATGAAATTAATTCTATGAAAATTAATAATGTTTATAATTCTATAAAGTTAATAATACTATCGCGATTTATTGAAAAACAAGGAGAAAAGGGGGATTTGATAATGTTGATCCACTTTTTAATAAATATATTAGTTTATATATATTAATGAAATTAAAAGAAAGGAGCGTGTAGGAAAAACAAAAAACAATGGATTTGATATTGCTGATCCATTGTTTTTTTTAATAAATAATTTTTTATTTTTTAGGTCATCCATTCTGACCAGAGAACAAAAGATCTCGCAGACCAATGACCAAAGGGAAGAAGATCCGGAAGCAGGTCCTGGGCAGCAACTCAGAGAGGGAAAAGGAGAAGACGAAAAAAGGGAAAGGGGAAGAACGAAAAAAGGGAAAGGGGAAGAACAAAAAAAAGGAAGGGGAAGAACGAAAAAAAGGAAGGGGAAGAACGAAAAAAAGGAAGGGGAAAAATGAAGAGAGAGAAAAGGTGAAGAAAAAAAAAAGATATATATAAAATTCAAATCATTTTACCACCTAAAAATTGTGATCTTTGCATATCAACAGATACGGGATACTAAATCACTAACATACAAGGGTTTAGAAAATTCGAACGTTGTAATATTTTCTAATAAAAAAAAAATCTTATTATTCCTATTAAACATAGTTTTCCCAGCAACATATTGTTTTATTAAAACTCACCAGTACTTCTTTATTAATAATGTCCCAATAAAAACAAACATTATTTTGCCCAGATATCCTTACAATTTTTTCAGATTAAGTTAAGTTCTGATGATAAAAAAGGTGGACCAACTAATACGAAGAAATCAAAAGAAAAAGTTCGATCCATGATGTCGACAAGCGTATTATTTTTCAATAATTTAATCTCTAGATTACAATTTTGATTCATCCAGTCATAAAAATTAATAAAAGGAATGAGTTCAAATAAACTTGAAATTTGAAATTGAGGCTATTCAGAACAAGATCAATGATTATTATACCTAAATTAAAATTCCCAATAATGCCCATTCCCTTTCGAGGCTAATACTTGTATGCTTCACAGCCTAACATAAATCGTCATTTCACAATACCGCCTACATTACAACACCATAAGCTTTAAAGTCCAAAAGATATGAAACAATAATACTTACTTAGCTTTCCATCCTTCTGATCCACTCTTAAATTTTACATGTATAATGTATATCTTTAGTATAATAAACAAGTTACATTTATCACCACTCAGTATTAATAATTAAACTAGACTTACTACTTAATTTATTTTCAAATTCGCCTGGCATATGCATCATATGACTGGCCATCATCTTCTAAATATTCAAAATCCATTCGTAAATGCATTTTTGAAAAAAAATTCATTATAATGGACCGAATATCGCAAGAATATATTCAAGGAGTTCCCTCGCTAATACTTAATCATCTTTTTGCTTGAATATATAGATGTTAAAACAGCAGGATATCAAAGTAGGTCAGCTCTTGTAACAGATTTGATTAGCAGTAGTTTGTCAAAAAATGTTTGAACGTTAATAATAAGTCTAATCATTTATATAATCGAAAATTACTTCAACGGTAGCCCAAACATATAATGCTAACTTACTACTTTTTGTAATCCTTCGATCATAACGACAACAATTTTGGAAAGTATTTTAAAAGGTCAATGAAATTATAATTTTCAATAATTGTTGTTGATATTCCGCTAATAATTGATATTTAGATGTGTTGTGGCGTATTTGTAGCGTACATTTCTGCAAAATAACTGTTTATATTAACGTTGTTAAAATGGTGAGCCGTCATATTGTTCATAATGTTGACCAGAGTTCTTTTTAAACAACCTATTGTCTGCAGAAAAGAAACTCGGGTAATATCTAGGGGTGAGGTAATATCAATTACAAGAAAGGTTGCACAAGGAGATATCAAGATATCTACTTTTTTTGTGTGTGCCGTTAATCTATTATCTAATATAAATTTGTACGCAAACAGTGAGAAAGATGTGTCAGTAACTACGGTGGCATATTATGGTTAACAATTAGTGGCTAAAGCCATTTCGTAGTTGTAGCCTACATTATTTATTGCTGATTGATGGACTAAAAAAAGTAACACATTCTCTTTTTTTTTCGAAACTCGTTCTCTCTGTGACTAGAAAATCCACATGGAAAATCACGTGACTCGGATAGTGGGCTTTTATTCACGGTATTCGGAATATAGTTTTGCCGTTGGTTAATAACTAAACTAAAAGACACGTGCTATCTCGTCACATGATACTCTGAACTGACCGTGGCAGCCAAGGAGCCAAGGGCTCTTGCCGCTCAACCACGCTCATTACAGGAGGTTCTACTTCGTACCTTTCAGGTAGGAACCTGGGTTCCTGGGTTTAGAGTGTCATGTACCTTCTGGCGAATCAGGACCATGCTTACAAAGAAAGTTTATAGTGTAATATTTCTATTTTGAATTTTGATACGGAATAAGTAAAACGAGTTAGTATTGTTAATACAAAAATGTTGTACATGGGCACAAAGAATTAAGTATTTCACTTAAGGAAACGATTCTTTTTACATTTCTTTGTAATACTATGTGGTATGTAGATATTAATCAATTATCGTTAAGAATTAAATTTTTCAGTATTCTCAAAAAATATTGAACAAAAATGATTGGCTATTAATTATCTAAACATATGATTTTGTCACGTTTCTTTTGTAACACAATTAATGAGCATATTAAAAATTACGCTACTTGTGCTATGCAAACAAATCTGACGCAACAACATCTACATTATGTAATATAATTACGCCATAAAAATAGATCTCGATTTATACAAGACAGATAAAAAGTCACAAAACATTTGGAAAGAGATCAACGGATCACATCTATAATGTCATTTGGAAAATTTCATTCGTATTAACATAATAATGCATTAATAATAATAATCATGAAATCAAGTTTGTCTTCAAAAATTAGTAATACGAGATGGCAACATTCTACGAGAAGAACGGAGGCTGCATAGAGAAAAAAAATGGTGTGCAGCAGGTTGACCCTGAAGATATTATCACGTGGATCACGTATATTAAAGAAGAAAAACCGTGAAAACGTTCCGATATTTCAGACGAGAAGTGGAATGAAGTGATTGCTAAAACGGACGCCTTGCTAATCATTGATAAGGATAAAAAAGTACGTGTATCTTGATCTAATACAAATGCTTAACCATGTTAAACTCAAACTTAATTATTGCTAGATAAATGTTCCGGCGAAAAAATGATCGATACGAGAAATGATATTTGCAACATAATTGGAATGTGGTACAATCTCTTATTAAAAACCTACAATACCCACTTACCATATAATAAAAAATTCAAGAACTTTGGTGAGTTGTATGAGGAAATGACTAAAAACAAAAGTGTTGAGGGGAGAGTTTATGCTTTAGCTAAAGATCATTATGGGATGAAGTGAGATCATTATTTGGGTATAAATTCAAACGAAACCGTACTGTTCACAAAAAGTCCCTAGAAAAGGGTAAAACTGAACCAGTACTTTCTCAGCAATTGCAAAACGCTCTCGAACTATTGCAATTAGTAACTGATCAGCCATCGGATTTTCCGATAGCATTTGAAAAATGCGCAAAATGGGTGTATAGAAGTAGTTAAACTTTAGTTTTTATTTTCTAATAAATATACATTTGATATACGACTATTTTATTGAACGATTAATTTCGTGCGATTCTTTAACATTTTTGTTTATTCTTATTCTTCGTTAAAATTATAAATAATTGATCGTAAGGAAAAAATTAAGGGGACAAAGCTGCTTGGGTGTTTTGCATCTGCTTCGCACAATACTGTTAACTATATGTATAAAGAGAATGTTGTAACTAGTAGCGGAATCTGTGCTCAAGGTCCTCCTTCCATTAATGAAAAGGCTTTACTAAAATATTCGACAGCTTTTGAACCTTCGTAGGCTTTACGAAATGCCTCCCACATAAGTTCGTCCTGTTGATCCTCAGACAATATTTCTCCTTGTGGCGCGTCAGGTAAATCATCATAGTTTTCATTATCCAAATCATATTCGACTGGCCTTGGTAATGATGAGATAGCTTCCATTGCCATATAAAGTAATTCTTGCACGGTCTGATCATGTTTATTACGTCCATTTACAAGAACATCACGGTAAGATAACTTTGTGTTATTATTCGTTGGTATAAACTCGTTTTTTTTGTCTTTTCCTTTAATAGAAATGGTAGCTTCATCTTTGCTAGACTTTTTCTCCACACGAACATCATTTTTATCTTCAGTTTTCCTTTCAACAAGAAAAGAACATGTGTCTTCAGAAGGACAAGTGGAAATATAATTCATCATAATATAATAACAATCCAAAAAGCTATTTAATACAATACAGATAATTGTAGCAACATACCTAAATTCAATTTTTCATTTTCATCACATAATGTATCATTATCGGTGTCAGAGTCCACTACACTATCATTATGGTTGATAATCAAATGTCGGTTTAGCGCATCAAGAGAACAAAATCGCGAGCCAGTGCAAATTGGACACTAATATAAAAAAGTCACACAAAAAAAGTATCAGGTAGTGTTGTTAAACAGCGCAAATAAACTATTGGTATAACATCGCAGCAACTCTTATCGCGAAACAAACCACGCCAATTGATAACACTATTATCAGGTAGATATTTGTTTGAAATTACCTTGAATGGTCTTTGACGAGAGTGTCTATGTAAATGTTCTGCAAATATAACACATCAGCGGAACTAGTAAAGTCAAAAGTACTTGACATATTTTTCTATACCTTCTAATTTAGTAATACTACTTTGATGCTTATTGCAACCTTCCCACGGACATATATAAATTGGATCTCCTATAGATGCTCTGTTGCAAGAATTGATGTCGTGTTCGTCGATGTGCTTTCTAAGTTTCTCCTGGGTTTCGAAATGTTGTGGTTTTGAATGAGAATATAACCACTTACAGACGAATGGCATCAGATTAGCACTTTCAGTCATGGTAGTATGGTAGATTATATCCGATATAAACAAAACAAGGCGAAAATGTTATGAAGAAAAAATATTTTGAGTGGTTGATATGTTACACAGTTGCCTCGTGCTACATAACCGGCCGATGGATCGACCTAAGTTATTCCAGAAGTTGATTCGTAGACTTTCGGATTATTTAGAAGATATTGGGAACGCATACGTCTGTGAATTCGAATTAGATCCCTTAGCTGACTTCTACTATCCGGCTCTAATTCCACCTTTATCTATCCTAGCTAATAGATCAGATATTCGTAAAAAGATTCCTATTAGTGTAGAATCTGCTGTTATGGGAGGAGTGAGTCTATTTACTCTAGAAAAAAAATAAACGATCTTCACTCCAGAATCTAATCCAAATGAACTATTCCATTGATAACTTGACTACGTTAATAGGAATAACTTGGGAGCAAGAAGAGATGAATGACACGCTCATGAAATTCCTCCATCATCCGGATTTAGTGCTTTTAAAATATAAACCGAACGCATTATACGATGCATTCACCAAGACGAATGTTTTAGGGCCAGGACATATACTAGCTCTAGCACGAATGTTTTATTAAAATGTTATTAGATACAGATGAATTTGTTTATAGCCTTGGAATGGCGGTTCCATGACTATATATTTTTTCGCTTATCATATATACCCGAAAAATTCAATTTTTTTTTTATTTATACATGAAAAATAAATACAAATATTCGGGACATAGCCCGCGATACATGAAGACTATGCTATTATTATACATGATTATTTTTTCGAACGATACCCCTCTATCCTAGCTCTCTTTCTATCCGACGACCGAAGGAAGCGAAGCCCGAAGGGAAGGAAGAAATTACAAGTTTAAAATCCTAGACATTTTCACTGTTTCTTTTTCTGATTGCAAATTAACTTAGTTTCACTAAGGAACAGCTTTTTGGAAACGATCAACAATAATGAGCTGTTTTAGCACATGATTTTTATAGGTTATCACAAATAATAGGATAGATTATAAATGATTTAAATTATCAGAAAAAAGATCGATTACCACAAAAACCAACTGGAATTCGTCTTCGTTTAATAAAATCTAAAGTTTTATCTATTCTCTTTATTTGAATACATTAATAAGTAATAATGACCACTTCCCAGTTCCCGCGCATGATGTTCATTAATTTAGAAAGTACCATAATTTTGAAAACCTGCTCAATGTTCCATGGGCTAATTTTATTAAAGTAAAAAAGTATAATTGTAAACAAAATTTTTGTTCGATTTCAAAATCGACATACTTTGGATTATAACTTTTAAAAATTTTTAATTGAAAAAGAATTTCGAGAATTTACTAATAAGATTGATTACCCAGTTTAATAATCTTTTAAATCTTTCCAATAAATATTAATCATAATAAAACGGCCCATTATAATTATTTATAATATTAAATAAAAAATAATTTAAACTAGAAACTAATTAAACTTTTGGCCTGCATAGAATAAAAATATATAAAATATAATACTCTTAAAGCTATTACCCACTATAGCAACAACTGCACTAACTTTAAATATGTTTATTTCGTGTATCCGTATGGATGACGGCTCTCGGATATTACTTAAACATTTGTACGGATAATCGGAATATCTTAATAAAAAAAGGACATATTGACGTTTATGTTATTTCCATTTATTTTACGGTAAAATTTCATTCATTTAAATTTTTAAAGAAGATGTAATAAATTTTTATTTGAGAAAAAAGTGAAAAATTTGAAATATCGAAATTTTGTACGAACGTTACATATGATTTGTTATTTGAAATACATTTGATTCGTAATATAATATTAATTAATTATCGTAGATAGCACGGCATGAATTATTTGTATCCGACTTCAATTTATATCAGGGATACATATTATCCATGGATACACACACTACATTAAGAAAAGGTATGATAGGTGAATTAATTTGCAATGATTCATCCGAAAATCTTCAAAGAAAAGAAATAAATATAACGTCTTACTAAATTCGGACTTCAATATAAATCCGAATCGCAAAAAAGACCTTTTTAAGTTAAGATATTCTAACGATTATATGTCATATAATCCAAACCACTTTCAAATAATTTCCTTTATAATACTTAAATTTTATAATTTATTTGATCTTACAATTAATTTTGTTTGATTTTAGGAAAGTTTGTAGTCGTAAGATAGCAAATTAAAAATTATTATTCACATTCTCACAATCAAATTTTTTTTTTTGATTTATTGAATGAAGAGAAAATCTATATTATTCTACCGAGAGTCCGAGGTACGTAGAAAAAGAATTTTGAATTGTGGTGCTTCGTTTATTTTAATGAATGGATTGTTTCCATGAATGTCGTTTCCAAATTAAACATCATGTTCGATAAATTTGGTATGTTAATTAAAATCTCTAATTATACGATGAGTATGAAATTTTTTTTAATTTAATTTAATAAGGAATTAGGGAAATTGTAGATCACTTTGGTGCAACTAGGCAATAATATATTATTGAATATTCGTGTCATGTGATCTGCTGTTTCTAATTTTTCTAAATTTCTAAATCTAACCCAAATTATACAATTATAAGAGGAATGTTGTCAAGTGTTTGTTTGTTATATAAAGAACAATTTTGTCGTTTCATCTTTATTATTTCCTTCATTTATGCTAGTTTAAATTTTTTAAATTTACATCTTATTGATGGATTTAAAGTTTTGAATCTAACTTTATTTTTAGCTATTATTATAGTTATACCAAATATTCTCAATCAATGTCTTTCAATAATACCATTAGCGTTTAGCATTGTTGTAAATTTGTGGGATTATGAGCAAAGAAACTAGGAAATTTTGAATAAGGTACAATTGGCATTATATAAGCTTTTTAAATTAGTTCTTCGTTACATTTTTAAGTTAAATTCTAATTAATATGATCGGATAAGTATGATTGGCTAAGGATATACACACAGATAACGCAGATATAATAAAATAACTTCGAACTTTGTACAAAAACTTTAACTTCTGTAGTATATTTTATATAACTGTAATGTAGATCTGAATGAAATTATTTTTTAATATTTATAACTATCAAATTCCTAATTTCATTTACTCTGCATATGGTAAATAGGATAATCTTCAAATATCTCTAACAGAAAAAAGACTTAATTTCTTTAAAAAAGAAAATAATAGGACAGTTTTACTTAATGTAAAATCATTGTTTCATAATCATATGATTATTATGCAGGGATCTCGTATGAATTAAATAAATTCATTCAATGCTATGCTGAGATTGGACTTACCCAGTCGAGATGATCATCAGGAAATCAAATATAATAAACATCTGACTTTTAATTGGTTTCTCAAATTTTTCAAAGAAATTTATTTTTTAAATTTCAATTTCAAACATTAAACAGGATTTTTGTGATACAAAGATTGAAGCCAAAACCTCAATAACAATAATAACCGTTAGGAATATTTTCAGCCAGACACCAATTATTGAGTATCCTCTTAATAATGATAGTTTCGGAGTTGCAATATTGTTATTATTATATACATGAATAAATATATTTTGAGTTTAAGAATGATTTTTTATTATAATTTCTATTAAGTACTAAATCAAATAGTCCTTTTTTTTTGATTATTAACCGATTATTTGTAAACACTCAATAATAAAAAAAAAAAAATGTAATGGAATTCTAACGATTATCGTAGTATGCTTTTTCTTTCAACATTTTTGTTTTTTTTTAAAAAAAAAAAAAAAAATTTTTTTTTATGTGTCGTATTACCTACCAAATAATAGTTGATCATGTGCACTTATAGAATCTTCTCATTTCAGGTTTTAATTTGCTTCTTTTTTATACATATTTAAACTTGGTAACACTCACCACCAAAAAAATTAAATAATAACGGTCACGAAAAAAAATTATTTTTTTTTTATTTCTGCAAAAAAAAATTTTTATATCGATTTTACACGATACATTACATTTACTTTATATGTATATATATATATATACATATATATATACATGTGTAATAATAAAACCGGTTTCTAAATATAAATATTAAATATTCTTGAACAAAGTCAAAAATAAAAAAAAATGAATACTGAACGAACGAACCACCAAGGTATACTTAGGGAAAATTCTACAAGAACAAATACGATGTCGTCATCGATCGTTAATCCTTCTTCGGTTCTTGGTGGTGTAGTATTTTCAAAAATTCGATGGTAATAATTTTTTTCAAACTAAACTAAATACGTAATGTTGAAAAAGAAAAGAAATTCTCACTAAACTTTTTTATGAAATTTCTTTTTTCTTAAAAAGTTATTTAAACCCTGAACAGATTGGTAAGAAGTTATTTGGTAAAACCAAAGTTCAACTGGTATTTTCTTATAATAAAAAACAAAAATTTACAACAAAGTCTGAAATGTATGTAAAAAAAAGTCCTAGTTCTTTCGTTGTTAATTTCCGTATTAATATTTTATCTGACTATTTACATTTTCATTCTTTTTTTTTTTTTTTAGCGTATTGAATAACGATAAAACTAAGAAGAGAGCAAATTGGAATGAACAAATTTATTTTGAATTATTATCGGATGTATCGCCAGAATTTTCTGTTAGTGTTTACAATACTGCTATTAGCGGTCCTGATGGAAGATTAGGTGAAGCAACTGAAAATTTTAAAAATGTTCAAAAATTTAAAATAGAAGAAAACAGGGTTTCTTTAGATTTATTAAAACAAGGTGAAGAAAAGATTGGAGAAGTATTTTTCCATGTTCAATTGTTATCAAAGGATCCTCCAAGGAGTATGATGGAAATGGTTAGCGATCGTACAAATAACGATCACAAAAAGAAAGTTGGGTTGTTGTTAATTAATAATGTTAAATTTAAAAATCTAGCTGGAAGAAGGGGTACATTAGAAGTAAAATTAAGAGATGAGTCTCATTCTACTGAAGGTTATTGGAATACGACAATGAAGGAATGGAGATATCCGATAGCTCTTACAGTATTTACAAATCCTAATTTGGATTTAATAATTCAATGTCGATATACCGAACATGAACGTGCTTCAACAAGAATTTGTTTAGGTCCGAATGGGATTCACGAACATATTTGGAAAAATTTGATGAATGGTCCCTTTAAAGCTGGAGAGTTTTCTTTACACGATAATGAATATGATTCTGCAAGGATTGAATTTACAATATCCTGTCACAAAATTGTTACTTCAAAAACTTTATTCTATCCAGATGAAGGAAGACAGGAATCACCTTTTGTCGACACTAATCAAATCATCAATGAAGAAATACGCAGTGCACCTGTCAATAATAATTTCAATAATAATATTACTACCACTACCACTCTTGCGCGTGCACATACGATAAGTTATACTCCAGGATCAATAAATACGATTGGAACGATGGGACGTTCAAGTGTTATTCCTGAACAAAGCATAAACCCTGAACAAAATTATACGATTGCCGTCGCACAAAAAGTTCATTATATTCCTAGATCGCCTCATATATCACCTCAATTACCCCCGATACCTAATGGCATTGGTGATTCTACTAATATACCCCAACAAATTCAGAATATCGCTAATACTAGACAAATTGTTAAACCCAGACCTGCAGATAGTTCACAATTAAGAAATATTATTAATAATAATAATATGGCGAATTCAATTCCTGTACCTCCTAAGCATCCTAGACGACAAGCCACTGTTGAAGAAGAAACTGATTCAGAACATATTCGTGTTAATAATTCTCCACCCTCATCTGAACGTATGATCAATGTACATCATTATGAAAATGATGCACGTGATATTTCTAACCCAAATTTCAATAATTTCAATGAATCAAATATTCCCCCTCAATATAAGAATCCTAATCCTGATATGAATTCATCAAGTAAACATCATCGAATCTCACCACCTCCACCTCCATATCCAAAACAGTCCAATAGTGTATCTTCACCCAGAATTATTTGTCAACGTTTTGTAATAGTTAATCCATTGCGTCTGAGTAATATGCGTGGAAGAAGAGAAGAAGTTCCTCTATATCCACAAAATAAGCTATACAAAGGTCATCATATATTTACCAAGCAAGATGTCATAATCAAGGAGTTCAGCTCACAATTATCATATGAGTCTGAAACTGCTTATTTGAAGGATCTTAGTTCTCGACATATAGTTAAATGGGTTGATATGGAATCAGATCCGAGTACAGGAGAATTTTATTCTATCACTGAATATTACGGTAGAGCTTTACAATTGGAAGCTCGTAAATTTAATGTGGGAAAAATCAAGCAAGTTTTTAAAAATATTTGTACTGCCGTAAATTGGATTCATAGCAATGATGTTGTGGTAAGTAATAGAATATATATCATATGCGTGTATGTTATTAATCATTATATTTATTATAATTTAATTATTTTGTTTAACCATTATTAGCATCTCGACTTGAACCCTACGAATATTATTTGTAAAGAAGGAAAAGATAATCACAAAATCAAAATATGTGATTTTGAAACATCACGGCAATTTGGAGATATAATTCAAGTATTTCCACCCGTACCATCTGATGATACGCAATCGATGCAATCATATGATCACCATCAACAATATTCTTCTGGTACACATTATTCTCATCAAGCTTATCCACAATCACAATTTACACAATTTACACAATTTACCTTGGGATATACATGTCCCGAATTATTATTATGTTGTGATGATGATGAAAAGGATTCAAATAATGTAATAGAGGTTCCCGCTCATTTAAACCAAGATATTTTTAGTTTGGGTTGTATATTATATTTTCTTTATAATAATAATAAAGCTTTATATAATACATTGGAAGATCTGGAAGAAAGTTTTTCATTGGAGAAAGGATTTGAATATAAAATTAGGAAAGACATTGAAGATGATAGGGCCGCTGATTTGATATTAAAATGTGTTAATAAGAAGCCAAATGGGAGACCTACCATTGAAGAAGTTTTGGATGACAGATATTTTAAATCTAATATTGAAAGGAATCATAGTATAAATTCTAGGAATTCACATGATAGCATTAAAAGCGATAATCTATCCAGGAATTCTCGTGATAGTGTTAAAAGTGAAAGTTTAAATGGTAGTAACGGTAGTAACGGTAGTAGTAGTGATAATGATGAAAGGTAATGGAAGAGTTTCGTAAAACGAGAAAGAATAGATAAAAATGTTAGAATGTTTAGATTAAATTATTTTTTTATTTATTAATATTTTATTTATTTATTTTATTTTTTTTTTGATTTGTATAAAATGTATATTAACTAAATTATCATTAACATTTATAAGCTACATTTGGCATTATAATTACATATATAAAAAATATTCTTACCTTTTTTTATCACAATAATTTTTCTTTTTTTTTTAAATATAAAGGGGATGGTAGTTGAAGTATTATCCCTTCAAGTATCATTATATTCTCATTCATTGGGTGAAAATTCTAGATGATGAAAATTCTTGAAGGAAGAAAAAAAATTAAAAATAAAAAATCTTATTTTCAAAAAAAATCGTTATTTTTTCTAGTGTTATTTCAAAATTCTTAATTTTTAAAGTGAAAAAAATTGAGATTTATAAAAAGCTAACTTGAATTTTTATCAGCTGCGTTAATTTTTAACCAAGAATTACGGATGGAATATGTATCCTACACTTCATATATTATTGTAATATGACGAAGAAAGGCCTATATTCATATTTGGATTATGAAATAGAGTCATGGAATGGAGAGGGGTGCGGAAGCGTATATAGAACCTTTAAGTACTTGTTAAGTAGTTGTTATTTTGGGGTGTAATAGTTTCATCTGATAATGGATGCGTCGTTCGGCTTATACCGAACCTCCTAGATCTTTATAAATATGCATGGTAATCTCAAGGTGGTGCTCCAGGTGCTGCTCCAGATGCTGCTCCAGATGCTGCTCCACCAGGTGGTGCTCCAGGTGATCCTCCAGATGCTGCTCCACCGGGTGGTGCTCCAGGTGGTCCTCCAGATGCTGCTCCACCGGGTGGTGGTGCTACTCCACCTGCTGGACCAGGTAAAGTTCCAGGTGGTAAGGTACCTTGTAAGAAAAAAGGCCAAGGATTTCGTTAGTTTTATGTCCAGCAGGAAGCAATAATCAAAGGCAATCAAATTCCTTTTTACCTGATAGCGATAATAATTACATTGACACACTTAATTCATTAAGACAAAATGAAATCTTATATAAAATTAATCATTTATCGATTAACCAAGCCCAACAGGAAGCAATAATCAAAGGCAATTAAATTCCTTTTTTACCTGATAGCGATAATAATTACATTGACACACTTAATTCATTCAGACAAAAAGAAAGCTTATATAAAATTAATCATTTATCGATTAACCAAGCCTAACTGGAAGCAATAATCAAAGGCAATCAAATTCCTTTTTTACCTGATAGCGATAATAATTACATTGACACACTTACATCTTAAAAAGAAGGCTTATATAAAATTAATCATTTCTCGATTAAACAAGCGGGAACAAGCCCGACAATCAAATTCCTTTTTACCTGATAGCGATAATGACACTCTTGCTTCTTTAGATAGTTTACTGTATACATCGACTGATTGACTTTTTTGTTTGGTAAATATAAACTTAATAACTCCCCCCTTCCAAATTCAGTTAATCATAATATTCTTAAACTATTTATCAATTTTCGAATTGTCGATATGAATTCCAATTTTCTACTTTCAATTTCTTTGAATTTCTTATAATTTTACGACATCCCTTCATGAATTCCCTCGGGTAACCTTTCTTATGATTTCTTTCTAAATAAATTTTTTCTTTTTATTTCATGTCCCGTCTCTGTCTTTCCATAAATATATATCCATTTCTCTTTCATCAATTATCTCCTCAGTTTCTGTTGTATTCTCATTCTCGGTTTCTTCGAAAATAGAAATTTCTACCACTCTCTTCTCCTGGTTAAAATTAAATGATTGGTCAACCTCGGTTCAAAGTGATTTTTTTCCAGAATGAAACACGTGACTTTTTTTTATCTTCCTTAAAGTTGAATGACAACATCATTAATGCTAGTTTTTTTTTTCTGTAAAGAAATAACTACTTCAGCTAAAACAATGTTAAATAGTCATTAAATGGAACAAAATATCGGATATTTCTCCGATTCAATAAATTTATTATAATTCAATCATTATGAATTCATTTATTTTACCGAATTAGTCACAATAAAGATCCCAATATCAGTCTTTAAGGTCCATTAATAATTCCTAATTGAATTAAAAAAAAATAATTTTTATTATAGTTGCTATTTACGTTAAAGAGAAAAAATTTTTTTTTTTTAAGAAAGAGAAAAGATTTTTTTTTTAAGAAAGAGAGAAAATTTTTTTTTTAAGAAAGAGAAAAGATTTTTTTTTTAAGAAAAAAAAAAAGATTTTTTTTTAAGGAAGAGAAAAAATTTTTCTTTAAGAAAGAAAAAAATAAAATAAAAAAAAATATAAACTTGATGCAAAATGTAAATGTCGCTTCAAGGCATATAATCGTTGTACGAACTTCGTATATAAAACAATTTTTATTTGAATATATATCGAGTCAAGATGAGTGATATGATCGTATATTTTTTTTTTAAAAAAAAATTAACCCCACCTGATTTTGTCACAAGTTTGTATTCTTAAGTATCTTTCGGCTAAAACTTGAGTCGACTAAAATTTGCGCCGACTAAAATTGTGTCGACTAAAACTTGTGTCGACTAACTCCAGTTTTTTGCATAGTTGAATAAAGCAAAAACAAATTAAGTCTTGTCATGAAGAAGTCTTCCAAGCATAAATGAGAATAAATATGTATAACAGGTATAAATTTAAATGATTTATTTTATAACTTTCATAAATATTTACCAGAACGATAACAAGGAAAATAACAAAGAAAAATTTGATAGAACAACCAACCAACTCGATGAACGATAATAAAATAAATAAATAATAAATAAATAATAAATAGAAAGAAAGAAAGAAAAGAAAGAAAGAAAAAAAGAAAAAGATTATTTTTTACTTTTTTTTAAAAAAATAAAATAAATTTTATTTATTTATTTATTCATTTCGAATTTTCGAAATTTTCGAATGTCTAACAAACAAATTATTTTTATAATATATCTTGGAATAGCTGCAGCTATAACTGCTTACATTTGTCGAATACTTGAAAATATGTTGAACAATTAAATTACTGAAAAGAGAACAATTAATTAACTGTTATGAATAAATACTTAAATGCAAAACAATTATTAATTAATGAATACTTAACGGTAAATTAAATGTGAAAATCGATTCTATTATTCAAATTCTTTGAGTCTAAGATAAGAATCTTGAAACCTTGTGTGTATGGTATGGCAGAATTACATAATTGTCAATTTATCGTAACAACATATTTATTAATAAAGTTTTATAATTTATCGACTTACAATATATAAAACGATTAAAACGCGTTGTGATATAAATGATATAAATGATATAAAAGATGTAAATGATGTAAATGATGTAAATGACATACATAATATAAATAATATAAAAGTACGAAAGAAAAAAATGAACGAAAGAAAAAAAATCATTTGGTTTCCTTTTTTTGATTGGTCATTGGTGGTTTCGCGAAAATCACGTGATTCCATTTGAACGAAAAAAAAAAATATAACTCCTTGTTTAAATAAATACCTTTCCTTTTTTTCTCTTTTATTTGTTTTTCTTTTTGTTTTTATTTTTTTAAAAAATGTTTATATTATTTTTGTAAAACAATTACTTTTTTTTTTTTT